CATACTCAACAAGGAAGGATTACAATCCGACACCAACGATGGTTAACAAAAGTTGCCAATTTCAATAGGAAAGAACAAACCGCACACACTAGCATGCTTATCAAACGGGTAAACCAAACATAGTTCCATAGAACATACAAGACTCATCATAATCCAACGAATCACAAAGTTGGACACTTAGCACGATTCAAGACACCAAATCCTACAAGGATTCCTAACATACCATTCTAGACATACGAAACATCAAGAAAACACTCAATAACCTAATAAAACAACATTGGGAGGTCAAAACATCAATTACCGAGTCAAAAGAATCACGGGCAACAAATCCCCGACCTACCACAAGTATGTACCCCGTGGGTGGGGCCACGGGTGGACCTCCGCCCGTGGTTCCACCCGCGGGTACCATCGCCCACAAGGCTTGTACCCCGCGGGTGGGGCGGCGGGTGGTTCCCTGCCCGCCGTTCCGCCCGTGGGTACACTCCTGTACCACAAAATAATCCCTTCGGGGATTTTCAACAACAAGTCCAAATTCAAGTCCAAAACACCCAAAATCTCACACGGTACAACAATATGACTTGAACCCAAGAAATAGCCAAGCAATAGCATACAAGAACCCTAATAACAAGCTCTAGACATGCATTACCACAAGACAATGCATCAAAACTCACATTTCATCACAAAAATCACAAGTAGAAGCCAAGAAATCATCACATAGGTAAGAAAATAGATTTTGTAGAGCATGGGTTACCTTTGTAGCCTAACACTTCACTTTTCTCACCCCTTAAAAGCTTCTCCTAAAGCTCTTCTTCAACTCCAACTTCATAAACACACCAAAAGACAACAAAGATTCTATTTTTAGAAAAAGACATCTAAAATGATACTAAAAACACCAAGAGACCAAGGATCTTACCCTCCCCTATGCTCAAGGTTAGGAAAGTATGAATCTTGGAGGCCAACTTGTAGAATCTAGGATGCCCAAAATTTGTCTTGGAGAAGAAGCTATCAAATTTCTAGAGAGAAGGTAGAGGTTTAGTGTTTAGAGTGTTGGTGGATGGAATGAAAGGATGATGTGTTATGTACTAAGATTTAGTACGCAACAGAAGAAACCTTTCGAGCAGGCTTCTGGCTCCAATCCGTATTCGAGTTACGGTAACTCCAAAAGAAAAGCAATATTATGAAAGAAAATGATGAACTCTTCAATATAAAAGACTAGAATAACAATATATTTCTCTCTTCTTCCATCTTCATATACAATGGTCTATTTATACTAATCTACTAATACCTATAATAATTAACCTACTAAAATAATACTAACTATATAAGGTAATGATATATTGTGATTTACATAATTTCCCTATACTAATTTAGGTACAATATTAACTCTCCCACTAATTAAGTTGTACCCTCCTAATTATCATACTAATTCTAGAAATATAATTAATTCTTCCCAATTAAACTATATAATTACAATTAAGGGCGTATCACTCTCCACCCCTTCAAAAAACACCTTGTCCTCAAGGTGTAGGTAAGGAAATGAGCATATCCATGCCTTGATACTGGTTGATTGATTTGCCAAACATGGACATCATAAACAACATGTTCACTGGATTGTCCTGTAATAGTTCTTGTTGGTGGCATGATTTGGGCCAATTTGGGTATCATTTCTACTGCAACATGGATGAAATTTTCCTCCAAAGGCACTAATGATGTGAAAATTGATTCTTGAAACAATTTGGGAGACTTAATATGCACAATTGTAGGTGCTACTTTATCATTGATTGGTGCTTCAATTTGGGGTGAATCCATGGAATGCTTGTTTGGCTACAATTGAATCCACAATAGAATCAAACCATACCAAAGCTTGGAAGGTGTAATCCTCATCCTTTAAAATATGAATATATTGTATGGGTCCTTTCGTAGAAAAGATCTCATACAATACAAAATCATCAATTGGCAACGGAAGATAACTCATGACTATGCTCATCTCTCTATGGAATTCTTATGGAATGGACAACATATTTGTCTAACGGGGGACTATGCAAGCTCGGTACAGCAAATCACCTTCAATCAACTTCAAGCTATAACAGAGTCAAATAATGTTCACGAGCTCTATGAGCTATTGTACATAGAATCCACAGGAAACCAGGATCTTCCGGATACCACTCTCTCAATGGAGTTGGAGTTACCTCATGAGAGTGTTACGATGGCAGATCATCAACTAATGGAAGATAGGCAAGATCAACAAGAAGATTACCAGCAAAATGAATCCAACCGCGAGGAGAAAAGATTGCGACGCTCCACTCGCAACATAAGGAAAGCAGGGAACCAAGATTACCACTATTATTAGAGAATATTCTGCATATTATTTATTACCTTCTGCATATCTATTTACCATATCCTAAAGCTAAAATTATGGAATGAGCCGTTAGGCTAATTAGTATTTAAGGAACCTCTTGTATGGCTAATATCATCTCATAATAAAGAAGTTTTATTTTATTTTCATCTTGGAGTTTTGTCTGTGACTCGAATACAGACCCGGAGCTAGAAATCTGCTCGAAAGATTTCACTTGTTGCATGTTTTACATGTAACATTGGTGCTCTCATTGAGGGCGTATTTTATTCTCATCTTGGTGCTCTAATTAAACTATATAATTACAATTAAGGGCGTATCATGATGCTAGGTTAGCTTGGGGCACAAACATTAGGTAGAAAGACTTCTTTGCCCTTACTAAAGTTGGAAGAATAAGGAGACAAGAGAACAACTCATAAGGCATAGAGTACAACTCTTTGACTTGGATTGACTAGTCAATTTCTAGTCCTCTGACTATTGAATTTTTCAGGATTTTAGGAATAAATTACCAAATAAGCTAGGATTAATTATCTAATTAATCCTTAAATAGATTTTGGATTTACGGGGTGTCACATGCTTGGATTCTAACGAAATGGAAATATATTAACATTATTGGAGCCCATGGGTATGTTTCTATTCCTTTTGAGGTTCCAACAATGATGGGAAAAGTATTTGAGGTGTATGTAGAAGTCCATCCTTTGCGGAAGATAATTTGTGTAGCTGAAATACATAGAAACAAAGAAGGAGAAGTGTGTTTCTTTCCATCCACAAGGGGATGCATTACTTCCTATAATTTCATCAACAACCATTATAAGGAAGATGGACAAAGGAAGAGGAAAAGGAAGGTGCAGATAGGTAGGTGCGTTTGTTTTGTTTTGTTTTTTTTTTTTTTTTTTTGTTTTTTTTTTTTTTTTTTGTTTTTTTGTTTTTTTGTTTTTTTTTTTTTTTTGTGGACAGGTACAATTTAATTTGATCAAAGCAATTAAGAGTGATTTTTATATGTATATGATATGTTTTGGACCAGAGTTAAAATGTAAGTGGACTCTAGTCTATGGTTTATATAATTTGTTGTGTTCTTGGTGCTATATTATTACCATGTGTTTTTATTTTCACATTACCATGATTGTTTCAATGTGTTACTGTATGTTAATGGACTGAATAAGTCATCAAATTTGATAAAATTGCTCATAATTACAAGGGTTTTAACTTTGAGGGTTTTTTTTTTTTTTTTTAAATAATATGTATAGTCCGCTTCTTGTCACTTTGACTGGATTGTTATGTCGAAAGGTCAGCCCGTCAAGATTTTCTTTTCGTGTCTCTTGTTCTAGAGACTAGTGGATGAGATAAATCATGAAATGTGTTTTAATTGGTCTATGTACCATGTTAAGTAAAATAAAGGTTCTCAACTTATTTTTGAGTTAATTGACTAGTTAAACTATGTATCAGGATAGTCTCTTATTACTTAAATTGTTGTGCCTGAAGGTTGGCTAGAATTTTCCTCATTTTGACTGAAATTTGTTGTCTGGAAAGTGGTTAGGGGAGGAGATAATGTTACGTTAGTCATTGTATTGTTTATCATAGAGGATTTTTCATATATAGTGTTCTTTATAATAAGAAGAATTTTATGATATATTATAAATATTTTGTAAGAAAATTATAAATGATAAGAATAAAAATCATTGAAAGTTTGTAAGGATGTATTCAATTTAGAATTTCAATGACTTTTGTAGACATTTTAAAATAAAAAGTTGATAAAAGTCTATGAATGTTTTTTATATAGACTTTTATAGAGTCTTATAAAGTTTTAAAAAGTTTTAAACAACTCTATGAAAGGCAATCAAAGTTTATTAAAATCTATCATTTTAAAAGTTTTTAAAACTCTACAAAAGTCATGATTGAATACACCCCCTAATATACTAAAGATAGACTATTTGTATACGAAAAGTTCATTATTTAAATTATACCATAAAAATATATATTTAAAAATAAATGTTTAATATATTAAAAATATATCTTATGTTAGGTTAGTGGTTATGTTTACCTTACAAGTTGGACCTTGGTCTATACTCTATAGTATTGGGTGGCTTTACTGGCTTAGGTGCCCATCAAAAGCCTGCTGATTGGCTTCAAGCAATTTTTACGACATTGTTAAATAAAGTACCATCTCACATAAAATAAAAATAATGCATATTAGTATGGGTTCAAATTATATTGTACATATGACATTCTTGTCTGTTCAATTGGATTGTTGTGCGGAAAGGTCTAACAACCTTCTTCATCATTACAGTTTATTAATTGATTTGTGGTTGAAATTCTTTTAAATGAAATTTATATTTAAATTTTAAAGTATCGGTGGGTCTTGGAAAAGGATACAATATCATTACATATTATGTGGATTGTCCCATTACATAGAATTATTCACTTGGAAATTATTAAGAATACCAATTCAAGTCAATCAATTATATGGGAGTGCGCCAAGTGCGCCAAGGACCTTGTGCTCTGATGGCATGTAGTGATCTCTCTAATGTAATAGAGTTAGTAGCATTCAAAAAACAAATATCGAAGTGTACATATAGCAATCTTACGTTGGATTGTCTAAGAAATTTCCATTGAGTTTGGCAGTGGCCGGAAGAAAATGTCTACACACGCATTTATCAAGCTCTTTAAATCTTTATAAACTAGCAAATCAAGATAGAAAATAGTCTTCTCAATTTCAAATATGGCTTCTTCTTCTTCTTCTTCATCTTCATCTACTACTGCTTGGTTGTATGATGTTTTCTTGAGTTTTAAAGGAGAGACACGGAAATCTTTTACTGATCATCTTTTTGAAGATTTGCGTCAGGCTGAAGTTAACACCTTTCGAGATGATGAAGAAATCCGAAAAGGTGGGAACATCTCTGATGAGCTTTTGAAGGCCCTCGAGGGGTCCAAGATATCCATCATAGTATTTTCCAAAACTTATGCCCATTCAAGATGGTGCCTTGATGAGCTCGTGAAAATTCTAGACTGTAAGAAAAAATTTCAACAGAGGGTTCTACCTATATTCTACAACATTGATCCTTCAGAGGTTCGTAAACAAACAGGCAAATTTGGTAAGGCATTGACTCAACATCGACAACGATTCGATGATCAAAAAATTAATGAGTGGAAAGTTGCACTCACTACTGTTGCTGATTTGTCTGGATGGAATTTGCAAACCATGACAAACGGGTAAATCCTCTTTTCAATTTTGTTATATTTTTTTGTGTGATACTATGATATATTTGTAACAATTTGGCTCACTGACTCAGATTGTCAATTATGTTAGTTTTGCTAATTATGTTAGTTTTGCTAATTAAAAATTGCGTTCTAGCATGTATACATGCATCTTTAAGGATGGATTAATATTTTTGGTAAAACAAGAAGAATCTGCCCCGTGCATTTCAATTTATTTGTCATAAATATTGATTCCTTTTAGAAATTATAATTACGGATTGATTATTATATCCGTTTATAAAAATATTTTTAAGAGGTGTTTACCTCAAGGAATGGAATCTTGAGCGACTAAATATACATATTTAGGGTGTGTGTTTTTCATGGTTTGCACACGAAGAATGAGAATCAAAATCATAAGGAAATTCAATTCCGACTTTCATGTTTAAACCAAACACAACCTTAGTTTTTCGTTTTCGGCCTATATTTTCTTTAATGATTTAAATTGACATTCTTTGAAAAAATGTGATAGGTATGAATCAAAGTTCATCAAAAAAATTACTGAAGAGGTACTGCGTGAAGTGAATCATACATACATGAATCTAGCAAAGTATCCTGTTGGAATTGAATCTCGTGTCAGAGATATAATTCATTTATTGCAAACTGAAAGACATGATGATATCAAGATGTTTGGAATTTTTGGCATGGGTGGCATGGGAAAAACAACCCTTGCTAAATCCATTTACAACTTGAGTTTTCAAAAGTTTGAAGGTTGTTGCTTTATTGCAAACATTAGGTCACAAGTTTCTGAAGAGCATCATGGTTTAGTTCGTTTACAAGAGAAACTTCTTTGCAAAATTCTCAACAGAAAGAAACTTAAAATAGATAATGTTGATGAATGAATAAATTTGATCAAAGAAAGACTGCGATCAAAAAGGGTTCTAATCATCCTTGATGACATAGACCATACTGGTCCACTAGAATCATTAGTAGGACAACGAAATTGGTTTGGTTTAGGCAGCAAAATTATAATTACAACTAGAGATGTTCATTTGTTGAGTGAGCTTGGAGCACAAGAGAAATATGCGGTCAAAACGTTAAGCCATGATGAATCCTTGCAACTCTTGAGTTGGCATGCATTTGGTGTTCCCATACCATTAGAGGAGTATATTGAACTATCCCAAAGGATAGCAAGTTATACTGATGGACTTCCACTAGCACTTACAATTATAGGTTCTCATTTGTGTGGCAAATCAGTGCAAGAATGGAGTGATGATGCTGAGAAATTAAGAGGGATACCTCATGATGATGTTCATAAAATTCTTAAAATAAGTTATGATTCACTTGATGATGATACTCGGAATATCTTTCTTGATATTGCTTGTTTTTTTTATTGGGCATAACAAAAATTACACTTCTATGATATTGGAAGCTTGTGATTTTTATGCTAAAAGTGGAATAAGAATTTTGATTGAAAGATGCTTGTTGACAACAAATGGAGATGGAAAGTTTGAAATGCTTGAGATGCATGATTGAGTACGAGATATGGGAAGAGAAATTGTTCAAAAGGAATCTCCACGAGAGCCTGGCAAACGAAGTAGGTTGATTAACCCAAATGATGTCTTTGATGTCGTTCAAGGGAACAAGGTAAAAACATATAAATCCTTTGTATTTGAGCTATTCTAGTTAATTCTTTTTCGTTCTATACTTAACTTTATTAAAATCAAAGATTTCAAAATATCTAAGATCTAAAATATTGCTATATAATTTTTTTTTATAGGGTACAGAAGCAATTGAAGGGATGATTGTAAATTCTAACATGTTAAAGAATGTTCCTTTGAATACTCGAGTATTGAAAAGGATGGTAATGTTACGAATACTCGTATTGGATGGTATGTGTCTCAGTGGATCATTTATTAAATATTTATCCCATGAGCTTAGGTATTTTAGATTACACAATTGTCATTTGGGTTGCATACCATCTAATTTTCACTGTGAGAAACTTGTTGAGTTAGACATGGAAGGCAGCAATATCAAAGAATTCCAATGCAATATGCAGGTTAGTATGTCTAATGTTTCTTTCAATATTTCATATTTCTTAATTAAGAACTTTGACTAGAAAAATAGAAATTGTGTTGAGTTTGTCTCATATATGGATTAGGAATATGTGTTTGTCTCATACTAGGAGTAGGAGTGAAACGGGTAGACCCATTGTACATGGATTAGATGCCTATAAATATATTGGTTGTATATCTAATGGGTTGTGTCACCACTATCACCATCATTATGAATAAGAGTATTGTTTCACTCCCGTGGATGTAGGCACATTTCCGAACCACGTAAATCTTGCTTTTCTTTACCCTTTTCTGCCATTGTTATTTGTTTTTCTTGTTCTGGTTAATCTCAACAAATTGGTATCAGAATATAGTTGAGATGGCTAGTTCAAGTATAAAATTCGAGGTATCAAAGTTTGATGGTATAGGGAATTTTGGATTATGGCGGTCTAGGGTAAAGGATTTGTTGGCATATCAAGGCCTTCTGAAAACCTTGAAGGCGGAAAAGCCAACTAATCTGGAAGATGTTGATTGGAAGGAGTTGAAGATGCAGGAAGCTACGGACGTGGTACAAGCTGATGACTCTTATTATAGTGAAGGTGGTGTTCTAGCAGTTACTAGTAACAAGGTCAAACATTGTTTGAACTTGTTGGGTGTTTTTAGCTGCTAGATGAGAAGGTGGTGAGGGGCGCTGTAGTGTTGGGCAGCGCGGATACCAGGAGGGGTCGTGGACTTGGTATCGGTATGGGCTTATATGGGCTCGGTATGTGCTGATATGGTACTGGTTAGGGCCAATATAGGCTTGGTATCGGTATGGATCGGGGCTTGGCACGAGTTACGGTTGGTATGGGTCGATATTGGCTCGGTATGAACTGGTAAGGCACTGGTATGGGTCGGGCTTGTTATGAGTCAAGGCTGGTATCGACGGACGCTTTAGGATGAAGCGATTCGTGAACATGCACTGGGAACGTTTGATGCTGCGTTGTGCGTGTCGCTAGCTAGTGGCAATTACTGGTTAGTGGAGCATTGGGCAAGGCATGCACATGGGTTTAGTGTGACTTTGCAGGGGCGCTGTTGTGTTAGGGGCAGCATGGATACCAAGAGGGGATATGGACCTGGTATGGGCCAAATGCAGGAGGTCAGCTGAACGCGGCAGTTAGCATGAGTCGCGACTGGTACAAGTCGACGGCTGAGGGCGAATGGCTTGGGACGAAGCGGTTCGTGTACATGCACTGGGTAAAGTTTGATGCTGCGTATGCATGTGGCTGGCTAGTTGAGATAAGCTTGGTTGTTCCTACCCATGGGTATATGTGAGATAAGTCTTTTTCTCCTAAGGGGCATAATTGTGAATGTGGAGATGGTGAGATAAGTCTTTTCTCCTAAGGGATATATTTGCTAAGGTAGATATTTGCTGAGTTATCTTTTTCTCCTAAAGGACATATTCGCCAAGGTGGAGATAGTCTTTTCTCCTAAAGGGCATATATGTGATGGTGAGATAAGTTTTTCTCCTAAATAGCATATTCGTCAAGGTGGAGATTTGTTGAGTTATCTTTTCTCCTAAAGAGCATATTCGCCAAGGTGGAGATTGTTAAGTTTGTCTCATATATGGATTAGGAATATGTGTTTGTCTCATACTAGGAGTAGGAGTGAAACGGGTAGACCCATTGTACAGGGATTAGATGCCTATAAATATATTGGTTGTATCCCTAATGGGTTGTGTCACCACTATGACCATCATTATGAATAAGAGTATTGTTTCACTCTCGTGGATGTAGGCACATTGCTTAACCACGTAAATCTTGCCTTGTTTATCTTTTCTGCCATTATTATTTTTCTTGTTCTTGTTAATCTCAACAAATTGATTAAACATTTTTCTACTTTTGTTTTTTTCAACAGCATTTTAGATGCTTGAAGATCTTAAAGCTTGATTATTGTCAACAACATGAGAAAACATCAAATTTCACTGGGGCACATACTCTTCAAAAAGTATCTTTTGAGAGTTGTTCAAATTTGGTCAAGGTACACCCTTCAATTGGATGTTTGGAGAGACTTGCTTAGTTAGATTTCCAAGGGTGCAGGAAACTCAAGGTTCTTCCAAGTAACATTTGCAAGTTAAAATCACTTGAAGTTTTAAGTTTAATTGAATGCGAAAAACTGGCGGAGCTTCCAATTGACTTGGAAAAATTAGAGTAACTAAGATATTTACTTGCTGGTGGAACTGCCATCTCACATATACCTTTTTCTTTGGGATGTTTGAGAAATCTAAAGACACTGTTTCTGCAGCAGTACAAGAGTAGTTGTGTACTATCAAAATCAAAATCTCAACTTCATGACATTTAATATCCTCTTTTTTTGTTCAGAAGAAGTCGTGATGGTGGTGTTGGTTCTTTTCCACCTTCCGTTACAAATTTGTGCTCCTTGGAAGTTATTGAGAATTTAAACTCATTGGTATATTTAGCTTTATCAGGAAGAAAGTTATATTCAAAGCTTACCCTTCGGCCTTTGTCATCTTTCAAACGTGAAATGCCTCACCTTGGACAATTTGCAAAATCTTAGAGTACTTGAAGAACTTCCTCCTAGTTTGGAGAGACTCTCTGCAAATAATTGTGTTTCGTTGGAAAAAATAGTAGTTGTATCAAACTCGAAGAGACTTGAACAGTTGTGTCTTCAAAACTGTGAAAGTTTGGTTGAGCTTCCAAACATGGAGAGTCTTTCGTCCTTAGTAAAGCTTGACATAACGAATTGCAATGCTTTGACTATTCCTGGCAACTATTTGCATGAAGAAGATGTTCCAATTGCTCCTAGGAGTTTGTCCTCCTCGTTGAAAGAAATAGATTTAATGGGAAGATATTATCTTCAAAGTTTACCATTAAGCCTTTGTCATCAATATTCCAATTTGAAGTATCTCTTCTTGGATGATTGGCAGAATCTTAGATCACTTCCGCAACTTCCTCCTAATTTGGTGATACTCTCTGCAATGAATTGTGTCTCATTAGAAAAGATAGTAGATCTATCCAACTTGAAAAGACTCAAAATGCTAAATATTCAGAACTCCAAAAGTTTGGTTGAGCTTTCAGGCTTGGAGAGTCTTGAATCCTTACGTAGTCTTGGGATAGAATATTGCAGTGGTTTGAGGATTCCTTCAATTGAAAAGTGGTTCAAGGTTATATATATATATATATATATATATATATATATATATATATATGTGTGTGTGTGTGTGTGTGTGTGTGTGTGTGTGTGTGTGTGTTCACTTCATCTATGATATTATATTAGAATAGATGGTAATAGTTATGGACTTATGGTATTATTAATTGTTATATTGTTTTTCCATAATGTAGGCGCGTTCTAAAGGTGATAGTGTCGAGATCGTTGTTAAAGAGCGCGTTGGGGGGATATCCTGCTGTTTTCCTTTAACGAATGCATTCTTTGATATCATGGACAATGTGATTGATCCCAATGAAATTGATTATGCTGATCATGGTCATAATATAATTGGTTTGAGTGTGAGAAGTAAAAGCAGTGGTGTTTGGATTCTAAAAGAACCCCCCAAAACCATTCGGCTTAACATTCATAAAACCATTGGTATTGTTGATTTTGAGGTTCCAACAATGATGGGAGAAGTATTGGAGTTGTATTTAGAAGTCCATCTTTTGCAGAAGATAATTTGTGTAGCTGAAATACATAGAAACATAGAAGGGGAAGTGCATTTCTTTCCATCCACAAGGGGATGCATTCCTTCCTATATATAATTTCATCAACCATAATAAGGATAGTTAGAGTAGCATCCGCCTTCAACTTCAGCTTTTGCTGCAAAAAGGATTATTGTAAGTATGTATATCCTTCACACTTGACACCACTTTAACTTATATCATATCGGACTACATCTTTTAATTTGTTAGTTGTTTATTTAATAACATTTTAATATTTAATATTAATTTTAATTTATGAATAAATTGAACACACTGTAGTATTTGGATTGTCACATTTTAATATATAGTTTATTTATTTTGATTAAAGTGCCACTAAATGATTTAAAAGATGACTTCAAGTTCGTATTTGATCTTATTTTATCTCAGCTCATATATATTTAACCTTGTTCAAAAGAACCTTTATTTGCTTTGTTTGTGTGGATAGGTACAATTTAACTTATCAAAGCAATTATATATGAGTTGTTTTTATACCATTTGGCTGGAGATGGAGTCAATTGGATGATGGAAAACATGTTGTATTTGTGAGTTACGTTTTTCCTCAAGTATTTTTGTTCGGCTATGATGTAGGCACATTGTGAAGGTAATGCTGTTTAGATTTCGTTTCTAGTAGAGGGAGATTCTGTATATTGTTGTATTCCAAATCCTTTGAGGCGTACATCCTTTCATATCATTAACCGGGCTTTTGATCAGCATAATCAAAAGCACTCCAGAACTTTCCTTGTTTGTGTGTCATTGGAAAAAATAACAGCTATATATACCAAACATGAAAATACTGAAAGAGTTGTATGTTCCCAATTACAAAAGTTTGGTTGATCTTCCAGGATTGGAGAGTTTTGTTAGATGATATGAGTCAAAATCAAGAAGTCAAAGGTTCAAGGAGTAGTATAGTTTAACTGTGTTGTAACTAACTTTCAACAACCTCCCTAACAGTTTTTCCCTCTAGTTTTCTTCTCTGCTTCCCTCATATACCAGTAGAGGTGTGTTGTATTGTGTACAGAAAACACTATCAATCAGAAACCTTCTTCTCTTTAGCTCTTCATGTTTATCAACATGGTATCAGAGCTATGAGCTATGGCTTGGCGGCCACAAGTTGTAAACATGGTTGGATCTCATCAGCGGTATATAGTTTTGTTTTGATTAATTATTATATTATTTTTATTCTAATTTTATTTTATTATTACATATTACATAACATTAATAATAATATAAATTTTCTTTTAGACAATTTTGTACTGTGCAGCCAAACATTAAAAAGAAAAATGTTTTCTGAATAAGTGAATAATAATGTCTAGGGAAAATTGTAAAAAGTGTCCCTCTATAATATGCCAATTATCAATGTCACCACTGAATTATGAGTGGTGTAAATGTTGTCCATCAATTATTAAAATGGTGTACATATAGCCCCTCCCGTAACAGACATGTGGTTCCCCACTGCTGTCCATCGCTGGTACTTCGAATCGAGGGAGGAAAAAAATAACTAAATTACATATTTACTCCGACTTAACGGTGTCGTACACTAACGAGGAACCACATGTCCGTTACGGGAGGGGCTATATGTGCACCGTTTTGATAATTGAGGGGCAACATTTACACAACTCATAATTCAAGGATGACATTGATAATTGACATATTATAGAGGAGTATTTTTTACAATTTTCCCTAATGTCTACACACATTATTACCATTGAAGACTATACAAGAAAAAATATTGTATATGCATGCTAATAATAATGGTAAAAAATAACAAAAGTTATAACAGTAAGAATTTTTTATCTAAAAAATTATATAATACAACTCTTATAGCATAATGTATAAAATAAATAATAATAACAAGAAAAAATGGACATAAATCAAGAGTATAATCTGAATTGAGTCTTATTATGTTTTTTGATTTGTGGTTGAAATTCTTTTAGTACTATCCACTACTTCACAGTGGGATGGTCAATTGTTACGTAAAATTATTAGTGGGAAATTATTAAGAAGACCAAGTCAATCAAATATATTGTAGTGCACATATAGCAATCTTATGTTGGATTTTCTAAGAAATTTCCATTGAGTTTCGCAGTAGCCGGAAGGAATTTTCCATTACGTTATCATCTGTGTACGCACGCGTTTTCCAAGCTCTTTAAATCTTTAGAAACTAGCTAGCTAGCTAGCAAATCAAGACTGAAGATAGTGTTCTCAATTTCAAATATGGCTTCTTCTCCATCTTCATCTACTACTGCTTGGATGTATGATGTTTTCTTGAGTTTTAGAGGAGAGATACGAAAATCTTTTACTGATCATCTCTATGAAGATTTACGTTGGAATTAAACCTTTCGGGACGATGGAGAAATCCGAAAAGGTGAGAACTATTGGAAAAAATAGCTTAAATTGGCATAAAATGGCACATTAAGTGGTTATTTTGTGGTATAATTATCAGTGGGGTCCACTTCCGATTTGGGTCGGGTCAAAGTGGATTCGGGTTCTTTGTAGTGAGACGAAGAGAATGATATATTGTACGCTCAAAACGGATAATGGGTGAATGAGATATTAATTCTCAAAGTAGACACATTTGAGTTTTCAAGCCTCAAAATTCTGCTTTCTACTACTTTTCTTAAGCGTACCGTGTTCATCACCTTGCTTTGTTCGCCGGATTCCTTGTTTGGGTGCTCAAACATTGAATCCAGCAAGTTTTATCCTGGGAAGTCTAGGCCACAAAGTCCCTAGCACTTTTGGGAGGTGGCAAATAAGGTTTTAAGGAAAGAGTGATCACTTGACTCTTGCTAAAATCCCAATTAACACCAAACACTAGCCAAATTCTTCATCTTTCCTTCCCTATTTTTTTCCAGAAAAATAATAATCTTATTTTATTAGATTATTATTTGTTTTCACCAACGGATTTCCAACAAGAACATCTCTGCTGAGATATTGAAGGCCATCGAGGGGTCCAAGATATCCATCATCGTATTTTTCAAAACTTATGCCCAATCCAAATGGTGTCTTGTTGAACTGGTGAAGATTTTAGACTGTAAGAAAAATTTACAACATATGGTTCTGCCTATATTCTACAACGTTGATCCTTCAGAGGTTCGTAAACAAACAGGCGAATTTGGTAAGGCATTGGCTCAACATCGGCAACGATTTGATGATCAAAAAGTTGATGAGTGGAAAGTTGCACTCACTACTGTTGCGGAGTTGTCAGGATGGGATTTGCAAACCATGACAAATGGGTAATTCTTTCTTTTTTTTTTTTTTTTGGTGATTGTATGATATACATGTCACAATTTGGCTCACTAACTCATATTGCCAACAATATTAAGGGAGAAGTGTCAAATTGACTCATCTACTACTGCATAGTGCCCAATTTGTTCAATTAACTTTTTTTTACAATTTACTAACAAGTTGCCTATTTAATTATTAAAAAAAATTAAAAAATTAAAAAAAAATTATATATATATATATATATATATATATATATATATATATATATATATATATATATATATATCAGCCACCGGCTGTCCGGCGAGGACAGTCGATGGCTGCCCTTATATTTTTTGTATATGTATAGGTTTCAAATGCATAGCAGCGGAGGGTTTTGATGAGCTAAACGGCATGTCAGCTTGTCATTTGATAGATAAATGGAAGTCAGATACAGAGAGAAAAGGATGCCAGTTGAAATGGACCCTTGAAATCAATTTCATCTTCTTTACTATTGTGGAATGTTTACGCGACGACGGTAAGAATTGAAGATCTATTCATTGTCACCCGCGGCCTCTTTAATTTATTATTGATCCACTCCAATTTCATGGCCGGGAGGCCGCAAGTTGGTCCAAAACTTAACAGCCGGCGAGGACAGCCCTGTTTGTGGAGGAGCGTTATGCCATGGAACCGTGTTCACCGTGCCAACGGTGTTAGTACACTGTTATCTTCTTCTTCTTCTTCTTCTTCTTCTTTTTTTTTTTTTTTTTTAATTAATTGCGTGATTTTTCTTCTTCATTTTCACCGCATTTTCACATTTTGCGGTTTCACTTTAATTTGAGGTGAACAATGATTTCGGACATTCATAAATTATGAATTCATGCCTGCACATTCACTTTGAAACCATGCCTACACATTCCCGTCCGAAATCACGGACATTCATAAATTATGAATCCATGCCTGCACATTCACTTTGGAACCATGCCTACACATTCACTTTGGAACCATGAGATTATGAATTTTCTGTTATGAGATTATGAATTTTCTGAAAATTCATAATCTCATAACAGAAAATTCATAATTTGATTAACGCGCGCCGTTAACTCCACATCCGCGAATTTTTATTTTTTTTTGCCTAAAAACGACGTCGTTTGGCCTTGTGTTACCATTCTCGGTGAACACGTTTCCAGGGCATAATTTGCCGTTTGTGGAAGGGTAACCTGATATTCTTTTTTTTTTCTTTTTTTTTAATAATTAAATAGGTAACCTATTAGCAACCTGTTAAAAAAGTTAATCGAACAAATTTAGCTTATAAGTGTGGTTAATTAGACTTTAATTTAGTTCGTGATGAAAATTGAGGTAGTAGTAGATGGGCCTATTTGACACTTCTGCCTAATATTAATAATGTTAGTTTTGCTAATTAATAATTTCGTTCTAGCATCTATTACGGATGGATTAATATTTTTGGTAAAACAAGAAGAATCTGCACTGCGCATTTCAATTTATTTGTCATAAATATTAATTCCTTTTAGAAATTATAATTATGGATTGATTTTATCCGTTGATAAAAATATTATAGGAGTTGTTTACCTCAGACAATGGAATCATGAGAGACTAAATATACATATTTCGTGTTCTGTAACGTGTGCTCTATTTAATTTTTTACTTTTATGTTTTCCCCCTATCTTTTCTTTAATGATTTAGATTGACATTCATTGGAAAAATGTGATAGGTATGAATCAAAGTTTATCAAAAACATTACTAAAGAGGTACTTCGGGAAGTGAATCGTACCTACATGAATGTTGCAAAGTATCCTGTTGGAATTGAATCTCGTGTCAGAGATATACTTCATTTATTGCAAACTCAAAGACATGATGATATCAAGATGTTTGGAATTTTTGGCATGGGTGGTGTGGGAAAAACAACCCTTGCTAAAGCCATTTACAACTTGAGTTTTCAAAAATTTGAAGGTTGCTGCTTTATTGCAAACATTAGAACACAAGTTTTGGAAGGGCACAATGGTATAGTTTGTTTGCAAGAGAAACTTCTTTGTAAAACACTCAATACAGAGAAACTTAAAATAGATAATGTTGATGAAGGAATAAATTTGATCAAAGAAAGACTGAGATGAAAAAGCGTTCTAATTATCCTTGATGACATAGACCACACTAGTCAACTAGAATCATTAGCAAGACAACGAAATTGGTTTGGTTTAGGCAGCATAATTATAATTAGAACTAGAGATGTTCATTTGTTGAGCGAGCTTGAAGCGCAAGAGAAATACATGGTCAAAATATTAAGCCCTGATGAATCTTTGCAACTCTTGAGTTTGCATGCTTTTGGTGTTTCTATACCATTTGAGGAGTATATTGAATTATCCAAAAGGATAGCAAGTTATATACATGTGGACTTCCACTAGCACGTACTTACAATTATATGTTCTCATTTGCATGGCAATTTAGTGCAAGAATGGAGTGATGATGCTGAGAATAAATTAAGAGGGATACCTCATGATGATGTTCAAACAAATTCTTAAAATAAGTTATGATTCACTTGATGATGATACTCGAAATATCTTTCTCGATATTGCTTGTTTTTTATTGGGCATAACAAAAATGACACTTCTATGATATTGGAAGCTTGTGGTTTTTATGCTAAAACTGGAATAAGAATTTTGATTGAAAGATGCTTGTTGACAACGTAACAAATGGAGGTGGAAAGTTTAAAAGGCTTCAGATGCATGATTTAGTACGAGATATGGGAAGAAAAATTGTTCAAAAGGAATCTCCTCGAGAACCTGGCAAACAAAGTAGATTGATTGACCCAAATGATGTCTTTGATGTTCTTCATGGGAATAAGGTAAAACATTTCCTTTGTATTTGAGTTATTCTAGTTAATTCATTTGCTTTCTATATTTAACTTTATGAAAATCAGAGATTTCAAAATATCTAAAATATAAAATATTGCTATATAAATGTTTTTTTTTTAATAGGGCACAGAAGCAATTGAAGGAATGATTGTAAATTCTAACACGTTAAAGAATGTGCCTTTGAGTACTCAAGTATTCAAAAGGATGGTAAAGTTACGAATACTTATTGGATGGTATGTGTCTCAGCGGATCTTTTAAATATTTATCCAATGAGCTTAGGAATTTTAGATTCACAATTGCCATTTGAGTTGCATACCATCTAATTTTCGCTTTGAGAAACTTGTTGAGTTAGACATGGAAGGTAGCAATATCAAAGAATTGCAATGCAATATGCAGGTTAGTATGTCTAATGTCTCTTTCAACATTGCATATTTCTTAATTAAGAACATTGACTAGGAAAATAGAAATTAATTAAACATTTTTCTACTTTTGTTTTTTTCAACAGCATTTTAGATGCTTGAGGATTTTAAAGCTTGATTATTGTGAACAACTTGAGAAAACACCAAACTTCACTGGGGCACATACTCTTCAAAAAGTATCCTTTAAGTGGTATTCAAATTTGGTCAAGGTACACCCATCAATTGGAAGTTTGGAGAGACTTGTTGAGTTAAATTTCTCTAGTTACAAAAAACTCAAGGTTCTTCAATTCCAAGTAGCATTTGCAAGTTAAAATCACTTGAAGTTTTAGATTTAGATTATTGTGAAAATCTGAGGGAGCTTCCAATTAACTTGGGAAAATTAGAGCAACTAAGAGATTTACTTGCTCGTCAAACTACCTTCTCATATTTACCATTTTCTTTGGGATGTTTGAGAAATTTAAAGAAACTAGAGCTCGAGGTGTACGTACAAGAGTTCTGTACTATCAAAATCAAAATCAAAATCGCCTCTTTTTTGTTCAAGAAGAAGTCGTGATGGTGTTGGTTTTTTCCACCTTCAGTTGCAAATTTGTGCTCCTTGGAAGTTATTGAAAATTTGACCTCATTGGAAGCTTTAGATTTATCAGTAAGATGTTGTTATCTTCAAAGCTTACCCTTCCGTCTTTGTCATCTTTCAAACTTGAAATTTCTCTACTGGGAGGACTTGCAAAATCTTAGAGCACTTGTAGAACTTCCTCCTAGTTTGGTGGAACTATCTGCAGAAAATTGTGTCTCATTAGAAAAAATAGCAGGTGTATCAAACTTGAAGAGACTTAAAATCTTGCATCATGAAAACTGCAAAAGTTTGGTTGAGCTTCCAAACTTGGAAAGTCTTTCATCCTTAGTCGAGCTTATCATAAGCAATTGCAATGCTCTAACCATCCCTAACAACTATTTGCATGAAGTAGATGGTCTTCCAATTGCTCTTAGGAGTTTGTCCTCATTGAAAGAATCAAATTTAATGGGAAGATACTATCTTCAAAGTTTACCATTAAGCCTTTGCCATCATTCCAATTTGCGGATTCTATGCTTGAACGGTTGGCAGAATCTTAGATCACTTCCACAACTTCCTCTTAATTTAGAGAAACTTTGTGCAAAGAATTGTGTGTCATTAGAAAAAATAGCAGATCTATCAAACATGAAAAGACTCAGAAGGCTAAATATTCAAAACAGCAAAAGTTTGGTTGAGCTTTCAGGCTTGGAGAGTGTTGAATCCTTAAACTATCTTGGATAGGTAATTGCAGTGCTTTGGGGATTCCTTCGATTGAAAAGTGGTTCAAGGTTAGTTATATATATATATATATATATATATATATATATATATATATATATATATATATATATATGTTCCCTTCATTCCCTTCATCTATGATATTATAATAGATCGATGATAATAGTTATGGTATTATTAATTGTTATATTGTATGTTTGTATGTATTCCATGATGTAGGCACGTTCTAAAGGTGATATTGTCCAGATTGTGGTTGGAGTGTCCGGGGGCCAGGGGTCTATCATAAAATGCAAATTTCCAATGCCTTTGAGGGATGTATGGTTTGAAATCCCCCACAATGTGATTGATCCTGGCAGTAAAATTGAAGAAATTGATTTGAGTGTGAGAAGCAAAAGCAGTGGTGCTTGGATTCTTCTAATGAAATCTCCCAGAATCTTTTATAATCCTACGTATTTTGAGGTTCCAACAATGATGGGAGAAGTATTGGAAGTGTACGTAAAATTCCCTCCTTCGCAGATGATATTTTTTGCATTTGAAATACATAGAAACATAGAAGGAGAAGTGTGTTTCTTTCCATCCTCAGAGGCAATTTCATCAACCATAAATTAGAGTTGTCAGAGTTACGTTGTGCTTAGCAACAATCATCTTCAGCTTCTAATTTGCTGCAAAAAGGTTTATTGTAAGTATATCCTTCACACTTGACAACAAATTTTACTGTTGACCATTGTCCACACAACATTGTGGACCATGGTCCAAAATGGTGCTTTTGATTTAACGAAAAGAAACGATACCCATTCCACGTAATTAACTCTATTTGTATAACATATTTAGTTTCATTTCAGCACAACAATAGTTTCATTCGACATTATACATATAATGGTCTCATAACAGTGATACATATTGAATTTCATTTATGTTATTGAATTTCATTTTATACACACTATAGTCTTATTACATTCTAATTTAACTACGGTTTCATTGGAAAATATACATTCAAATATGTGAAATTGTTATTCAGTTTAATTTTATATACATTGTAGTTTTATTACAATACAACTACAGTATCATTTCGATATAACTATAGTTTCATTTGACAATATATACTCAATATGTGAGACATATTATTTAGTTTCTTTTTATATATACTATAGTTTAATTTCAGCAAAACTAAAGTATCATTTCTATTGAACGATAGTTCTATTTGACAATATACATTTAATATGTGAGACATGTTATTCAGTTTATTTTATACACACTGCAATTTCATTTCAACACAACTAAAGTATCATTCCAATTCTATTACAATTTCATTTGATAATATAAACACAATATGCAAGACAGTTTCATTTTAGATACACTGTAGTTTCATTTTGTTGAACACACAAAAAATACGGGATTTGTTAAAAAATACGGGATTTGGACCATGGTCCACAAAGCTCTGTGGACCATGGTCCACAGTCTAAAAACCAATTATTTATTTTTAATTTATGAATCAACCCACAACTGTAGTATTTGGTAAGAATTGAATATTGTTAATATATTGATCATGCAGATATTTTCTAATGTTTTCTTTTGATTGAGTGTGATTTTTCTCTTGTTATTGACCTCTTCTAGTTAATCACAAGAGTTGCTCTTTTTTTTTTTTTTTTTTTTTTTTTTTGGATAAATCGACTGTGTGACGGGCTGGCTCAAGCTTGAAAAGACTGGAAAAGTTGTATTTTCTCACCTGCAAAAGGTGTAGGAAATTTATATAGTAATGGAGATTAATGTTTCAGATGAACTACCATGAAAGCTTAAATAATATTCGGAGTTGTGGAGTTGTAAATATTATTTTAGTTTGGTAGAAAGTTAATTAAAATACTGGGAGAAATGTATATAACTAATATGCTTGAGAGTATATAGCTATATGCTTGTGATATATAGCTAATATGCTTGAGAGTATTAATGCATCTTTGGATATGTTCATGCGTAAGGTTTGGGGCATTTTGAAGCTATATGCTTCAAAACTACACTTAACGTGCTTGGAATATGCTCTTCTATTTATGCATTTTGAAGCTATATGCTTCAAAGTTACACTTAACATGCTTGGTATATGTAGCTGTATGCTTGAGATTTTTGAACTACATATATGTATATTATTTATATTTATCCTTTGCATGTTTCCATGCGTAAGGAATATATATATATATATATATATATATATATATATATATATATATATATATATATATATATATATATATATATATATATATAAAATTTTGCATACAGTTACTGGCTCAATATATATTAATTTCTCCAGTGATAGATATATCAATCAAGATATATCTTATCTTATGGAAGTTGAGTTTTAAATCACAGCAACTTCCATGTAACTTCTCCAAACAGATATATTTTTCATCTATAAATATATTGGAGAAACATCTGATAGGGACAGGCAATTTACATGCATATTTTACAAGCAATTATTTTGCAGGAAACCAAGATACTTCACAGGCTTACATCTGCCAAGTTACACTTAACATGCTTGGTATATGTAGCTGTATGCTTGAGATTTTTGAACTACATATATGTATATTATTTATATTTATCCTTTGCATGTTTACTTGCATAAGGAATATATATATATATATATATATATATATATATATATATATATATATATATATATATATATATATATATATATGTATGTATGTATGTATGTATGTATGTATGTATGTATGTATGTATGTATGTATGTATATAATTTTGCATACAGTTACTGGCTCAATATATGTTAGTTTCTCCAGTGATAGATATATCAATCAGATATATCTTATCTTATGGAAGTTGAGTTTTAAATTACAGCAACTTCCATGTAACTTCTCCAAACAGATATATTTTTCATCTATAAATATTTTGGAGAAACATCTGAAAGGGAGATGCAATTTACAGGCAATCAATTTGCAGGAAATCAAGATACTTCACAGTCCTACAGTTCTACAGGAAATTCTCAAACAAAGCAACTTGAGAATTTCATTCATCTTCTTGTATCCCATAAGATTAAATCTTGAACCTTGTTGCTTTTATAGAGGGAGATTTAAAGCTTATAGGAAAGTGATTACACGCCTGAAGATATCAAATGATCCAATTTTTGTTCCCTGTTGTATTCTGTATTATTGTTGTATCTCAAATGTATTACAGATTACAAGCACTTTTTCCAACAATCTATAAGCTTTAAAATTTCTAAATCTGTGATCATGGTCTTGTCTTGAAAGTTTTGAAGACAAGATGCCAGGCGTGAACAATTTCCAATCACGGAAATTTTCGGAATGAGAATTTCGAATTTGGTGGTAAGAATGACAGAAATCACTTTCTATTGTACATGAAGGTTTTTCATGCGATTTTTGCATGTTATTCATGGCATGCTGTGTACATGTTGTACATGTGGATTAAATTCATGTTATGCAAGTTTTGTTTTCATCTTCACTTAAAGTGATGGGGCATCAAGTGATGCCAAGATGATTAGTGAGATGTGTAAAATGATTTTATTTAAATAAATCGCTTTGTTAGCCATGATTAATTGGCATGAGAAGATGTGTACTTCCCTAGAGTGGGTGTGTGGTTTCAGCGTGTCAAAGGCCGAAAGTGATGACCATTAAAGCAGATACAAGTTACAGGATGAGAACGGTACAATACATTTTATTTGTCTCGGCATCGGCATGAATGTAAGTTTTATTTTGTTTACTGGTTAAGTTCTGGCTTATGTCTAGAAGATATGCATGAGATTCTTTTGAATTTTGCATAGCCTGCTAAATATAAGGATATGTTTATGCATGTATATAAATATTTTTATATTGTGACTTTGTCTCGGTTGCATACATAGTATACAAGATACATATATAATATGTTGAATCTTGGGGTGCTGTAAATTTTATCAAATTTGGATTAATTTTGTATTGTCAATTTCTTGTTTTCCTATGCATGGTTACAATGTTTAATGATTGTAAGTTGGAAATAATTTCAATGTCATGCATGGAATTATTGATTATTTAAGCACACAGATGATTTTTATCGTTGTGAAAGCTTTTGAAATATTATGTTATTAATATTTCTGATAAAGCCATAAATGCCTTTGAAATACTCTGTTATATTTCTTATGAAGGGATGCATAAATTTTTATGCATGAGATATGCATAATGAAATTCATAAAATATATGAATGCCTTTAACACAAAGTTTCTCATATTGAGAATGTGTTAAAATTTTGAAAGCCAAAAAGTTTACTAGTTTATCTAGTATGGCTGGCAGTTAGCAGTGAAAAGAAAGTTTAAATTTAAATCAAGGATTATGATTTAAGTTGTGATGAAGCATAGCTTGGATTGGCAGCTATAGAAGCAGCAGTTGGAGCTTAGCAGTTAGTCCTCTAATAGTCATCAGGGGCTTTTCTGTCTTTTCACCAAGTTAGTTAGCAAGGCTGTTAAGTTTGTTAACTACTGTTGAGGCTTAGTACTTAAGCCTTGTTTTTCCCGTTTCTTGTAATAATCTTTCTTCTTCTTTCATTCTCCCAGAACTCAATGTATTCCAATAAACAGAGAGAACACTTTTCTTCTTTGTGATGAATAGAATCCAATCTTCTTCCTTTCCAGTGTAATTCCAGTGTGTTCATCATGGTATCAGAGCGGTTAAGGAGCTACGCTGCAGCAGTGGTTATGGAATCTGAGAATAATGGCAATCCCGGGCAAACAACACACGCCGGAGCCACTTCCAGTCAAAATCCCAGACAGATTCCTCAGAACCAACGCGTCGATGAATTCGATGACCCCTTTTACCTGCAAGTCACAGAAAATCCCAACCTCAGTCTTGTATCGCCCCCCCTCACTGAAATCAATTATGCCTCCTGGAGTAGAGCGATGAGAATCGCGTTGGAGGTCAAGAACAAGTTCGTCTTTGTCAATGGGACAGCCCCAATCCCAGACGAAAGCGATCCCAGAGTTGGGACCTGGAGGAGATGCAATCGAATAGTTTGTACCTGGATCTTGAGATCCGTAAGCCCTAACATCGTAGAGAGTATCATGTACTTTGATAAAGTCGCGGATATCTGGGATGCTTTGCGGAAAAGGTATTCACAATCGGACCCTCATAAGATTTCGGAAATACAGAATGAAATTTTTAAGAATGTCCAGGGAAGAATGTCTGTGAACGAGTACTTCACCAAAAGTGATGCCCTATGGCAACAATTGAATGCTCTTAGACCTTTGTTGCTCTGTGAATGTGTCCCTAGTTGTTCTTGCACTCTGATGAATAGGATGCAGAAACAGAGAGATGATGATCAAATAATCAGATTCTTGGAGGGATTAAATGAAGAGTATGAATCAATCAAATCTGGAGTTCTTGTAATGGACCCCATTCCAGATATGGAAAAAGTCCTAAACATGACTTTGAAGTTTAGAGGAAAATCAAAGGGGAGCCATTATCCAAAGATCCAATGATTTTGTTCAATCTAATGCTATTCAAGGTACTCAAAGTCAGTCAGATGAAGAACAGTCCCAAGTGGCAGCAGTGGCCTTTAACAATAAGAAGAAATTCCCTAATAATGGTGGAAGGAATGTCCCCAAATGCACTTATTATGGGATGAATGGACATACTATAGAGAAATGTTATAAAAAGAATGGTTACCCTCCTGGATGGGTACCAGGTTTTAAGTCCAGGAATAGGCAACCTCAAGACTCCCAGAAAGCGTTAAGCTCATCTGTGAATCAAGTTTCTGATATTGGGTTGTCCACTAACCAGTGTCAGAAGTTACTAGCCATATTGCAGAACCAGAATCATGGTTCAACTAATGCAGCTATAGCAGTTGCTCAATCTGGATCCACACCTGCTTTTGAGGAGAATATGGAAGCTCACACTGAAGGTACTTTTAGTCCTAGTGTTTATGTTAATACTGCCATAAACACACACACAATCTGGATTTTAGACTCAGGGGCCACAGACCATATCACATGCTCTTTACAATATTTTGATAAATGTTTCAAGATTGATGGAATTTCAATTAAATTGCCAAATGGTGAAGTTGTGAGTGTCACCCGTATGAGGCAGGTTAGATTTGATAAGGGACTGATTTTGGAAAATGTTCTATACATACCCTCTTTTACCTTCAATATCATATCAGTTAGTAGATTGGCCAAACAATCAGGATGTAGGCTTGTGATGGATGCTGATTATTGTGTTATTCAGGGGCCTCTTGGAACCATGGGTGGTTTTGCTAAGGAGAGAAATGGGTTGTACCTGGTTCAGATTCCCCCTGTGAAGAAGCAGTCTCAATCCTTAGATAAGAATAGCTAGCAATGTAACAGTTTGACCATACAATTGTGGCACAACAGATTGGGGCATTATCCCATTAATAAAATCTCTCTTTTCAATGGCATTGAATTTGATTCTTTACAGTCACAGAAACAGTGCACTTTCATATGTGATGTTTGTCATTTAGCTAAACACAAGAGGTCAACATTTCCTGTTAGCACAACTAGAGCTCAGCAAGTCTTTGAATTAATCCATATGGATGTGTGGGGTCCCTTCCCTGTTGCTACTCTTGAGGGAGAACATTACTTTCTGAGCATTGTTGATGATTACAGTAGGTTCACATGGCTACATATGCTCAAGAATAAGTCACAAGTCAAATCTGCTTTCCAAAGATTCTATAACTATGTCCTTACACAGTTTTCTGCCAAAATCAAAACAGTTAGGACTGATA